ACGACACGGGGGCGCCTGGTAAAGCCAGCCGGGAGTACCTGGGGGGCTGTCTGTGCGTAACCTCGACGCGTTCACCAAGTACATCGATCCACTACCATCTCGTCGATTTCAGCTGCCCGGGGAGGGCAGCAGAACTCCGGGCTTCTTGAAAAGCGTGGGGGCGTACCCCCCCGACGGGGGTCAACCTCGCATCGTCGTCGCGACGCGACGGGTGTCAGAACGCCTTCGGTGCGCGGTGGCTGCCCGCGACGGGGGTCGATGTGGGGCTGTCGGCGGGGATGACGCCCCCGCCCGACGTTTGTTAAGAAACTCGGAGTGCCCGTGCGAACGGCGGATGTCCGGCGAGATCAGCGGGATGGCGAGATGCCAACCTGCGCTCCCCGAGCCATCCCCTGCGGGCCACGGCGGATCGGCGGCGGGGTCAGCCCCAGATCCCCCTCAGCCAAGACCCGCATTGGGGGAGCAGGTAGTCAGTCCTTCGCTCACTGTGGCCTCTAGCGAAGCTTCCTGGGGGAGGGGGAGAAGGACGAGGCAGGAGGAGTGACCGAGATGGGGAGGAGAAGGAAGAGGAGGAGGGAGCGGAGGGAGGTGGCTAAGGATGAGGGCCATGATGCTGATGATGCGAATGATACTGGTGATGATGTTGATGATGATGCTGATGATGATGATGATGATGATGATGATGGTGGTGGTGGTGGTGACGATGCAGGTTGTGATGACGCCGAAGGAGTGGAGGACGAAGACGGGAATAATGACACGGATGATTATGAGGATCGACTATGAAGCCAATGAGGAGCAAGAGGAAGAGGAGTAAGAAGAGTGATGGGTCATGGCAATTGCCCTCCCAACGGTTCTGGGTGGGGCAGGCCGTGCCCCGAAAAAGCCTGGAGTGCACCTGGGCTAGCTCTGGAAGTCTGCACCTTTGCGCATCATCGTCTGTGTCTCGGCCTGCAAACGTTCCAAAACCCATACAAGCGATAGGAAGCTTGCACCAACGACTCCTGCATTTGCTGATTCCGCGCGTTGATCCTGCATTCAGCCACGCGGTCTTGGTTGACCGCAGTCGCCAAACGCATCGTGATGGGCGCTATAGCCACATCGCGTTGGGAAAGTTACATAAGTCAAATACATACTAGTCAGTGCAAGCGGCCAGCCATCACGCCTTGTAGGAGAAACATGATATGTTCGGTGGATCCCTGTTCGGCTGGCCGAAGAGATGGTGACATTTCAAATATGCAACCGCCAACGATGCGTCGATGTTTTACAATCCGCGCGGCAGGGATGGCACTGCAGTCCGGCGGCGGGACAAGTTGGTCTTATGGCCAACGGCCAGCGCGCGTCAGAGGCCCGAGTACGCACCCTTCCTCTGGTAAACAGTCTCGCGCACTTGCTTAATCTGCGCTTTCTGCGTTTTCAACAACCTCTTGAGTCTAACAGTCCAGGCAAATCTTGTCTACGGAAATGCGAGGGCTCGGACAAGCTGCACCGATGTTTACAATCCGCGCGACAGGGATGGCACTTCAGTTCGGCGGTGGGACAAATTGGCCTCATGGCCAACGGTCAACGCGCGTAAGAGGCCCGGGTGCACACCCTTCCTCTGGTAAACAACCTCGAGCACTTTCTGAATCTGCGCTTTCTGCGTTTTCAACAACCTCTTGAGTCTGACCGTCCAGGCCGTCTTGGCTACGGAGATGCGCGGGCTCGGACAGGCATGGCCCCAACAACAGCTTCCTTGGAAACTCGCAACAAAAAGTAGATAATAAGTGCACGCCCATCGGCGAGATGAGTTGTCGCGCGGGCGTGCTGAGCGCTCGCGCGCGCGAGATCCCAAGGCGCCGCCATGGCCGCAAAATGGCTCCAGGAGGGCCTGAAACCAAATGCGATAACGTCCAGCCGACCCTGGGATGACGCCACACCAACACGATCCCGCCATGGATTCTAGACCGTCTCAGGCCGACCCGAAGATGACCAAAGCATGGAGCCACGAGTGACGCCGAGATGGCCCGATGGCAACAAGACGGATCCACGCGCGCCCAGGGTGCCCAGAATGGACGCGCGACGGCTGCGCGATCCAATCATGATCTCAAGATGACCTCAAGACGACCCTGACACGCCAAGAATGCGACTACGTCGAGGCCCAAACTTACTTCGAGCCGATCCTAGCATGGCGGGATCCGTGAACGACCCGGGGTGTGTTTACCCTATTTTTCTTGCGTGGGGTTTTAGTCTGACTGAATTAAAACTATTATATTAAAGGGAAGTAAGTTAGGCGGGATCCCGCCGGGCCCACGGCAGAAGACTGCCCACGGCAGAAGACTGCATTGATAGGCTTCTACGGGGGGGGGCTCGGACGGGGCGTCATTCACTCCCGCTGTCTTCCGCAACCCTTCCGACGGCCTTCCGCCGTCTTCCGCCTCGTTTTACTTCAGTCGGCTTCCGCGAGCGAACGATGTGACCAAAATTAAAGGAACTTTTTTGGGGGCCGATGTATGGGTCTGCATCCTTATGGCCCAGCAGGCTGGGATGCAGCACACCTCATGGCTTTGCTACACGTCGGCTCCCGCCCTCTATCGGAAACAAGCACGGTTCAACTCCAGTCTGGTAACCGCCTACTGCCTGAGCTCTCTTCGAGCGGTCTGGTGGCATGGCGAGCTACGAGAACCCTGAACGCAAAACTGCTGCCACCTCCTAGGAGGACAATGCTCACCTCCGCCGGCCTTCCGCCAGCGGAGCCGCCCTCGCTTCACTCTCGCCACGGTGGGACGACGAAATGTTGCAAGTTGCTCCTGACCGCGTGCGGCTGCACCTACATTGCGGCGCCACCTCGACGAACAATCCCCGCCCCCTACATCTCAATGTTGGCACCAAGCGAACCCCCCAAGTCCGGGTGGACAAAATAATGCAAGTCAACATTGAAATGTGGGGGTGGGGGGGTCCTCAGAGATCGATGGAATCTGATCCTAGTTGGCACGCTGTTTATCATAATGCTCAGATAACTTGCGGTATGTTGTCCACCGACTGCAGCTTCCGCCGATCTTCTGCCACCCTCCGCCAGGGAAGAGATGCCACCTCCTCCGAGCCTCGCAGGCGAGAGGCCCTCCCTGGAGCGCGCCACGCGTGTGACTGCACGGCCTGGAGGAGCCCACGGCGACCGAGGGCGAGCCGACCCCCATCGTGCCACGTGCGCCGCTCTCCCAAGGGTGCCTCGGGCACAAAGAGGCCTCGTCACGGTCCCAAGACCGCCCGGTGACAGACCGTCGGCTGGGACCTCCGGGGTCTCGACGCCAGCGGACGGCCCGTCAACGCACGTCTTCCCAGGCATCCGGCGCCTCGGCAGAGTCGAGCAGAGCGGCTCGGGATGGAGAGCACGTCTCGGGGAAGTAGGCGGTCGAAAGGTCGGGGGCCTGTCTCGAAACAGCCGAGACGCCGGATGTCTGGGCTTGGACCACTGACGCTGAGGGTCAACATCCGAATCCTGCATCGAGTGGGAATCACCATGCGCCCGCGTGCTCTGTGTTAATTACGTGTGGACCCCTGCCCTGCGTGCGCGACGGGTCGCTGCCATTCTGGCCGCTGCCAGAACCCAGCAGTCCAAGCCGACATTCGTGCACACTCACCTACGATCGTCTGGGCACGGCAGGTGAACGTCGCGACGACATCGGCCTTAGCTTCAGACCAGCGTGGATCGTTCAACCTTGGAACGACCGCGGCTTTCCGATAGCGCAGACCGTCCGACATCAGCCGGTTCCGGGCCTCTGCCGGCGTTCAGCCTTGAACGCCCGCGCTGGGGACGCCGCCGCGTCTACGCGGCGCGAGCCTGCCAGAACCACGCCCGCGAGGAGCTGCGGGGCTGCCCCGGGCATCGCTGCCCTGGCCTGCCTCGGCAACTTTACCCGGATACCAGATGACCGGATACTCCGCTCCTCCAACGGGTTAGCCCGGCGTAAACCCCGGCCACCAGTCGACTGTTTGCCAGGCAATATTTCACTGGAAGAGCTCCCGTCCGTTGCCCCTGTCGCTTGTGCATCCCGACTGCTAATCAGATCCATCTGGCCCTGGTGTGGGGGTGTCGGCTATACGTAAGAGTGATTCTGGGCAAGAGTGTCCTTTGATGTGCGGCATTTGGGAGGCCGCGGGGGGGCCAAACACAAGCACGCAAGACGCCACTGCCGCCTCGCGTTCTGCGATCGGGGACCCCAGTTGGCCCGCACCAAAAGTCACCGGCGAAAGGTCACTCCTCACTTCTAGTCGATTGGAATACCTCGAAGGCCGTCCCGGTCTTGATTCGGGCCGCTTTCAACGTCACTGCGTTGACATGTGGCAGGCCCCCGCCATGCCCGACCCCCGGAGCTTCCAGCAGGCGAGCCACGAGCACGAGGGCGAGGAACAGGGACAGGAGGAGCTGCAGGAGGACGCGCGACCAACTGGACGACGAGGGAGATCAGGAACGGGTGCTCCGAGGAGGAGCAGAACTCCGCCAGCGAAGGGGGCGAACGCGGGCGCCCGAGACCGAAAGGAGAGAAAGACTGGCCGGGTGCCAATACAAGGCTCAGCGCCAGCGCTCGTCGATAAGCAGGGGTGTACGTCGACGGTAGAAGGCAGGAAGGGGAGGAGGAGGAGGAGGAGGAGGAGGAGGAGGAGGAGGAGGAGGAGGAGGAGGAGGAGGAGGAGGAGGAGGAGGAGGAGGAGGAGTCCCGCAGGTGGGGCGGCATGCGCCAGGGGGGCGGCGCGAGGGGGGGGCGGGGAGGGGAATCGAACGGGCGCGAGAGAGAAGCGCCGTGCGCCTCCCGGCGGGGTGGGGGGCAGCCCGCATGGGAAGGGGGAGGCCGCCACCGTCGCATGCGATGGCGCGGCACCGAACGGGCGCAGCGCGGGGAAGCAGGAAGGGAGGGCAGGGCCCCGCGGACGGGGGCCTGCGTGAGGGGGGCGGCCGCAGGGGGAGGCGGCAGGCCCCGGCGGACCGGGAGGACAGGGCGCTGCCAGAGGGAGGGAACGCCGGCCTATCGCAGCAGAGGCAGGTGCGACAGGCCTGCAAGGTGCGCCTCCCGGCGGGGCGGGGGCAGCCCGCAGCGGCAGTTGTGTTTGTTTTTGTGCCTAGGCTGCCGACCCTCCGGATGCCAGATGCTATCGTGTGCGACTGGCGAAGACGTAAGGGGGTGACACAGTCGAGGTGCCTCATGCCATGAACGAGGAAGCTTGCCCTCAATATATACAGGCTGCTTTGCATACGCCACTGGAACAGACACTCTGTGTACGCCGGCTAATCCCAACACAATATGGCCACATCTTTAATGAATCAATCCCCGCGCGTCCTCACATGGCCCAATGCGGGAGACTGAGGCTCCAGAAGGCACCCTGCAGGCCCAACGTTCTGCACGCAGTGGCTATATCTTTGTAGTGGTCGATCACGAGGCGACCCGAGACTATCAAAACGCTCAACGCCACGCCACCCCTCAAATACAACGAACTTGCTACAAATCTGGGATTGCGGGAAGCTCGTTCCGCTTCCTGCGGGTCTGCTTCCCGGCAGTGCTGCAGGAATCGCCCGAAAGAGGCCATACCGCCAAGCACGATGGAAGTGCAGATCCCACCGACTGGCAGAAGAAAGGAATACCTCAAAGTGATCAGAGAGAGGCGGCTGAACATGTCCCAATGCAGTGGCGGTGCCCTACCCACGACCAACAAACGAATACATTTGACGATCACAGATTCTGGCAATGCCTCCCGTGCCCTGGCACATCGAGCTTCAGTGTCTTCGTAAGTGTCAGCAGCCCTAACGGCCTTCAGTAATAGAAACGTTGGTGCTCTGATACGCTCAGTCATAAGATTATAAGCCTCCAAATCCAACGCAAGCGCGAGCATGAGTAGACACTGCCACATCTCCCCAGGCACCTGCAACAATAATCTCGACCATGTTGCGTAGCTGACACACTGGTCGCCGATCCACTCGAGGCGGCCGACATGACGCTGGTCAGACAGCAGCAAGGACGCATGTGCTTTGCGAACTGACTCCAGCTTTGCCATTGAAGCGTCTGCTAATTGCATATCACCATCGGCGACTCCCTTGGCCGACAGCTTCTCCAGCTGCTCAATGACCTCTGAATGAAGTGCTCGATTTGGAACCAAAGACGAAGCCGCCAATGGCTCCATGCTGAGCGGGTCAACGCTTCGACGCCGAAGCCACTGCAGCAAGGCTGCTTGGTCATAAGTGTGACCACTGGGGGTTATGACAGCATACTCCATGATGCGGTGCGAGATCGGACATATCAACTGCGACGACACGAGCTCTTCCAACTCTGGCGCCAGCCCAGTCGGCTCGGTGGCAGCACTATCCATGGGGCCAGTTGAGCTCATTATGGTGGGGGCATTGGATAAGGAACCCTTCGATAATGCATCCAGGGTCTGGAGGCCGGTGGAACTCCAATCGAGGCTTGGCCATGGATATCACCGCCGCCTTCGTCAGATAAGGAATCCTCCAGGGTCTGCAACATCCTGGGCGCATTCCTTAACCAACGCCCCCACCGTATTTTCGCCCGTGAAACGGCAGGCTGCACCACTCAGAACATTTGCTGACAAGCCGAATGTGCTTGAGCCAACTACGGAAGGAGCCTTTAGAGCACACCTACCCGCGAAGCCCGGACAAGGGGGGACCCGCTCAGGGGAGGGACCGCCTCAAGGGAGGGGGCACCTGGGTCAAGGGGGGAAACATCTCAAGGGGCCCAGGGACACGCCAATAACTAAGCACAAGTCCCAGGTTCTCCCCTATACTTCTCCATGGTTCCTGTGTGTTCGTCTTCTTTCTTTCTTATTCCTGGGAATCGACAGTTCTTTGTGCCTCTGTATGTTTTTCCCTCCTGAACACCGACGTGGCGTTGACGATACATCAGCGATAGCTCGGCGTTGGGCACCGGGCCGCAAATCGTAACACCGCGCGCGTTTCTGGCCGGGGTGGGCCATCGGGCCCCGATCGGCGTCAATGGGCGACCGGGGGTCGATGCACCCCCCCCCCTGACCCCATCCCCCCACAATGATCCTCGTCGCCCGACTTTCGGGTCAGAAGTCGGGCCTCGCGGCCGTCTGGGGCGATCCGGACACCCCTGGAACGCAGTTGCTGGAAACCGTCCCGAAACTCGGAGTCCGTTTTCTCAAACTGCCGAGAATGGGGAAACCAAAAGGTACCGGTACTGCTGCTCCCCGGAAGAACTCTCCCGGGGCGCATTCTGACCAGAATGTCGAGGCGAATCCAGGGGCGGCGACGAGGGCCTCCCAGGAGACAGAGAACGGGGAAAAACGCGCGAAGAGGTCGCGGTATGGGTTCCTTCTTCCTCCTCTGAGAGAGCCGAAGAAAGCGCCCGAACATCTCGAACCTCGAATCAGGTCGGGCCTGTCACCCTACAGGGGGATCTTGGGCGAAAAATAGAAAGTACCCTAAAAATGCCCCCCAACTGCTCAAAAGCAGTACAACAATAGTCCCCAGACTATATTTTGTGACTATTTCTGCGTATCCCCCTGTAGAGGGACAGGCCCGACTTAAACCTTGAAACCTTCCTAAAACCTTCCCCAGGAAGGTTGTTGGAAGGTTTTCGGAAAAAAAACCTTCCTGGAACCTTCCTAAAACCTTCCTCAGGAAGGTTGTTGTAAGGTTTTTGGGGAAACCTTCCTAAAACCTTCCTGATATCTTCCTCAGGAAGGTTTTTGGAAGGTTTTGTTTTGAAAAAACCTTCCTGAAACCTTCCTAAAACCTTCCTCAGGATGGTTTCTGAAGCCTGAAGGCACCCCCCGCTGAGCCTGCGGTCGGGGACTTCGGCTTCGTGTGCCGCCTCGGCGGCCCCAGCGGCACACGCTGTGCCCTGCGAGCGGGCAGCGCTTCGCTGCGCTCCGCGGGGCGGTGGAGGCTCGGCAGAGCGCGGGACGCCGACGTCGGGGAAGGGGGCGGTGGGCAGCGCTAGGTCGGGCATGTGCTCCTGCAGGCAGACTCCGAAGAAGAGCAAGACACAAGCAAGACATGCTCAAACACAATTCGCCAGACGAGCACGACAAGTCGCACTTTCGGACCATTCTTGAACACTCCTCATGTGGGGAGGGACATGCCCGACTCAAGGGTAGCGTGCCGCACGCAGCTGGCATGCAATCTCTACTGCGGCATCCCCGCGCCAACCTCCATGGTCTGAGCGGGCTCCTGGCTCATCCCCCCCTCCCGCTCTGTTCCTCTTCGCCTTCGTGCCTCAGTTCGCTCCGGGCGCACCCCACCGCTTGCTGACCAGCGTCCGACCGTCTCCGACAACACCGGCGCCCGCGGACTTAACAAAAAGTGTCGCGCCGACGCGCGGTGGGCCAGAAGCGGCGGCGCGACACGCTAAGCCAACTTTCCAGACCCCATCCTCCCGCGGCGCTGCCCCCGCAGGAGGAGAGCCGCGGGCTGCTTCCGGGGCCGTCTGCGGCGCGGGCGCCTCGCGGCCGATGGCCGCCGAGATGCGCGCGGCGGAGCCGTCGTGGCTCCGGGCCAGGGACACCTCTGCGCGGAGGCCCGGGCGGCTGCTTCAACCCGCTGCCCCCTTCTCCTCCCTCGTCCTCCCTCCCTCCTCCTCCCTCCTTCTCCCTCCTCCTCCTCCTCCTCCTCCTCCTCCTCCTCCTCCTCCGAACTCCTCCATCACCCTCCTTCCTCCTCCTCCTCCTCCTTCTCCTCCTGCTTCCCCTCCCTCCTCCTCGTCCTTCTCCTCCTCCTCCCTATCCTTCCCCCTCCCTATCCTTCCCGCTGGGAGGAGCATTCGCCAACAAACTCGGGAGTGGCACTTCCCCCATTCGCGCCTCTGGCGGGTTGATGCGCTGGCTGCGAAGAGGTGGCGTCTCTGGAGCGGCGTGCGAGCCCAAGATGGGCGAAGCGGCGGGGCAGCTGCCAGCTTCGACGAGGCTCGGCGTCTCCGTGCGGCGGCAGACGTCGAGGACGTGTGTGTGTGTGGCTGTACGGAATGGTGAGCGTTGTTATATGTTGCGTTTCGACATTGGGCGGAAGAGGGGGGGAGGGGGGAGGGTCTGGCTCCGGACCTCTGCCTAGCGCGACTGTTTGCAAGAGTGCGGCCTCTGGGGGAGACTCCACCCGCTCGAGACAGGCGCCAAAAAACAGCCAAGATCTGCTCCACGGGGGGCGGGGGGTGCGAGGGCCCGCGCCGATCGGCAAGACAATGAATCAAAAAACGATCACATGGTGGGGCCTGGAATTAGTTCAGGCTGGGCAGGCGGCGGCGTGCCCCGCTGGCGGGCCAAGTGCGCAGAGTGAATGGGGCGCGGAGCCTGGAGCTGTGGACCGAGCCTGGCCGAGGCCCGAAGGGCAAGCAAAGGCAGGCGCGGGGCAGCTGTCCTGCAAGCTCCACCGCGATGTTGTTATGTTGCAGTGTCGCAGGTAGCATGCGTTAGTGTGGTGGCATATTTTGGTCATCATGTTATTGCTCGTTCGTATGCTGGCAGGTGGAAAGTACTTGGCTTCACGGTCAGCGTTCTCGCTTGGTGTGACTACCCCCGCCAATGGCATCACACGTCGTCTTCATATCTCGCTGTCGTTGCAACCACATGCGTTGCTGTTGGTGGGACCTCAATTTGCAGATGTGTGCATTGCACAAGGCTGTCACACATCGAAACCGACGGGGGATGGCGGCCTCCCCCGGTCCTGGCCTGGACACCTAAAACGGGGAGGCAAAAACCCTCTGGGGGTTCGGGGCGGCTCTCCAGCGCGGATAGGCCGGCACGCCCAAAAGAAGGGGCGGCTCGCCAAGCGCACTATTCATGATATTCCCCACTGGCCGGGCCAGTGGGACGAGGAGGGGGAGGAGGAGGGCGGGGACCACCCCCCTGGCGCTGACCTCCGAAAAATGCTGTGTAGCAGTAGATTCGAGGACTGCCCCCCCCCCCCCCTCTCTACGAGACGAAGTGGAGCGAATTGACTCCTTGATGTGTTGAATGGGCAGCAACCTGTAATGATGGGCATTCACAGCCGGTCATGACGAGGCCAGCTCAGAGGCAGGCGTCTGTGGAGTGAAGGGTTGCTGATGTGGTGTATTGTTCGACTCGAGGCCCCTCTTGAAACTTTACTGCGTTTTTGGCGCGGATCGTCCAGTCTGTGGCGCGGATCGGCCAGGGGGCGGCTTTGGGCAAATGTGTTGGCTGAACGCACGGTGGAATGACCACACAGTCAACGAGGTCTTCTCTGCAAACGAACGATCTGAACTTGCCCAGTGTAGTAAAAGGCGGGCGGGGAGGAAAGAAGTTGAGCAGGGACCGACCGGCCCGGCATTCCGATAGTCCTACCATGACATGTCATTAGAACCCAGAAGTCCTCTAAAACAAAAACAATGTTCTTAGAACATTAACCCGATGTGTCAGAACAAAACAGGCTCAACCAGAAATATTCTAACATTTCGTGCAAACCACAAAAGGTTATTAGGACATTCTCGAGTAGGCCTGTAGGCGAGCCAGGACGCTTCGCAACTGCTTGAGGGGGACAGCGGTCGGGGATCTTCTGACCCGGGTCAATCCAGACCCGGGTCAGCCAGGCCTTGCATAATCCTGCAGGATCCTGCAAGATTCGGCACCCAAACCCGGGTCAATGCCAAGGACCCTGAAAGATCCTGCAGGATCCTGCACCCAAGCCCCTGGGGTCAGTGCGACCCCGGCCCTGCAGGACCATGCAGGATCGGGCGCTCTGGCTAAACCCCCGTTTGCCTCGACCCCCGTCGCGAGGCTCCCGAGGCGGTGCGGCGGACCCAGACCCCCGGCGTCATGTTTTTTTCGCAACGTCGACCCCCAGAGGTTTCGACCTATTCCCCGGGACCAGTTTCTCATCCCGAGTCGTTCTTTGACGGTCCCGAGGCCCGGCAAGGGCCCCCGGAGGCCGAAAGTGGCGAAAAACCTCCCGCCGTGATTTTTCTTCGTGACTCGGGGAGGTCTTGGGAGGAGAGCCCGGCCGCCTGGGCGAGCGAGTAGGCGGTGCTCCCGGACGCCTCGGCCAGCAGCTTCTCGGCCTCCCCCAGGGCCGCCAGCTCCGCCTCCACGTCGTGCACGGACTCGGCGGGGGCCGCCCGCGGAGGGGGCGGAGGAGGAGGTGGAGGAGGAGGAGGAGGAGGAGGAGGAGGAGGAGGAGGAGGAGGAGGAGGAGGAGGAGGAGGAGGAGGAGGAGGAGGGGGAGGGGGAGGAGGAGGAGGAGGAGGAGGAGGAGGAGGAGGAGGAGGAGGAGGAGGAGGAGGAGGAGGAGGAGGAGGAGGAGGAGGAGGAGGAGGAGGAGGAGGAGGAGGAGGAGGAGGAGGAGGAGGAGGAGGAGGAGGAGGAGGAGGAGGAGGAGGAGGAGGAGGAGGAGGGGAGGAGGAGGAGGAGGAGGAGGAGGAGGAGGAGGAGGAGGAGGGCGGGGGGGGGGGGGGGGCGATCCATATGGGGAGGGGCGGGGGAGCCCAGACCTCCTCGCGCTGGGAAAGAATTTTGCGGCGGGAAGTGCTCCGCTACTTTCTCGGCCTCCGGGGGCCCTGCCCGGGCCTCGGGACGGTTAGAAAACGACTCGGGAGGAAAAACCGGTCTCCAGGAAGGGGTCCAGACCTCTGGGGGCAGGCGTTGTGACAAAGATCACGGCGTCGGGGGTCTGTGAACGGGCACCATTCGCGCCCCTCTGGGGCCCCAGAAGGCCCCGTATAGGGCCCCTGGGGTGCACAAGAGGTGCACCTGTCCTCACCCTCCCTTGTATCGCTCCCCCAGCGCGGCTGGATGGCAAAATGGCAAGTTGAGATGCGCAGCTCCGGAGAGGCCAGAACCCAGGACGGAAGAACATCCTCCAACAGCATGAGACCCTCCGCTGGCCAAACTGAAGCACATTCGAGGATACCCTCCCCGAGGATGCACAGCCACATCCAACAGCAAACGACGGGCAATTATAGGCCATACCCTCCCCGAACCGACCTCGACCTTTCGTGCCTCGGCCCGGCCGTGCGCGGCGCCCTGCACGGGAGCGGGGAGAAGGGGGGGTCCGGAATAGCCTCGAGGTGTTTCGGGCAGGGGCCGGCCGCGCCGGCACTCGCTGCAGAGCCTGCCACGGCACGTTCCTTATGATGAGGGCAGCGCTGCGGGGACCTGCAGGGCCGTGTTTAATACATGAGATGATTTAATATAAGATGTTTCATACACGATTCATTTATGAATAAGTTTATGCATGAACTCATCGTTGCTTTTAGTACTAAATCCCTGCATCTTTAATACATAATCCGCACGCGGAGCATGTATTAAAAACGGCATTGTACTGGCCCGGGTCGATCCAAGCCCGGGCGAGTCGGGCGCTGCAAGACCCCGCGAGAACCTGCAGGATCCTGCGGGATCCTGCGCCCCAACCTGGATCTTAATGCCACCCTGGCGCTGCAGGATCCTGCAAGGTCCGGCGCTCGGACTGACCCCCGTCTGCCTTGACCCCCGTCTCTTGAGCCCCGAGCGCTCTTGTAGCACATATGGCCAGCGTGAAGAAGCAAGACTGACTCAACAAGGGCGCCTATCTTCGCGCTGCGCGAAGCGCGAATACCTCCGCGCTCTCGCGCCACCCGCCAGCGGAGAAGAGGAGGACCTGTAGGAATCGGAATCGGAGCCGAACTGCGGAGCGCGAAGCGCGAACAGCTTCGCGCCCTCGAGGGCGCCCTTGCTCAACCAGAACTGGCCTGCTCAACATCACTTGATACCCACAGCCCCCGCAGTCACGGATAAGAGGGAGGAGGTGGCGGCGGCGTCGTCGTCGCCGACGTCGTCGTCGTCGTCGTGGTGGTGGTGGTGGTGGTGGTCGTCGTCGTCGCAGTCGGCAGCCTGCGAGGCTCGGGAACACGTTGGAAGAGAGGTCGGCCGCAGGCGCCCAGGTTGCACAACTTGCAACAAGACGAGCTCGCCGCAGGCGCGGAGTGTTCGTCCACGCTTCGTGGCTGGGACGCGGGGGGGTCGTGGGTGGATCTCGGGTGGGCCGCGGGCGGGTCGCTTCTGTGAGGACGACGACAACGCAGCACAGCACTCATCTCGAGACGGTTCGCTCTGCGCTGCTCGCGCGTCGTTCCATGCCACGTGTGTGCCCCAGACCCTCGATACCCAAGGGGGCAACGGTTTGGGGGGAACGAGGGGGGGATGCATCGACCTGGAATCGGCGATGCATCGCCGACAGATCGGCGATCGGCCCCCGACAGTGAATCCGCACCTTCCTGGGCAGGTTGGGGCTATCGGGCCGCTATCGGCGATCAGTGGGCGATTGGGGGTCGATGCGTCCCCTCCTACAACCCTCGTCAAAATTAACCTCAAAAATGTCTGACGTGGTTGAACTGCTTGTCGGAAGATCTTGGGCCGAGTATCGATGAGTGCGGGGTACCTTCATGCGCCGCCCCTCCAATCTCGGTCGACGTCAAACTTTCGAGTCAACTTCGGTAAGACTATCTTTGCCCTCGCCCCGACATTGAAGGGGCGGCGTGTCGACATTGAGGGGCGCGCCGAAATCGAAATGACGTGCCAGCAACTGTTGAGGTTAATTGTGACGAGGGTAGCATGCCTATCTCCCCCCTTATCGTTGCCCCTGGTAATTACCCGCCCTCTTCGTCTTCGGTCGTGCCTCGCTTTGGGGGGGTCGATCTTCCTTTTCACGCCACGTGTAGCTGGCGCGGCCCCCGGAAAAAAAGAAGGATGTGGAGGAGGAGGAGGAGGAGGAGGAGGAGGAAAGGAGGAGGAGGAGGAGGCGAGGAGATGAGGAGGAGGAGGAAACGAGGAGGAGGGAGATGAGGAGGAGGAGGAGGAGGAGGAAACGAGGAGGAGGAAACGAGGAGGAGGAGATGAGGGGGAGAGAGAGCGAGGAGAGGAGGAGGCGGAAACGAGGAGGGAGGGAGGCAAGGGGAGGAGGACTGAGTCGGCGGCGAGCCTTCCGACAAAAATTGTTGTGCGTCTTCGGAGAAGGCTTAGACAACTTCTCAGAGGGCCGGGGGACTTCCGAGCCCTCTGAGAAAGCCCGCCCCTTCTCACTGTCAGTGCAGTTGTTTTCGCTCGGACCGCGCGGCGGTCGAAACTGCGGGTGCGTCCCAGGGCCCTAGGACTAGGGCCAAAACAGCGGCGGGCAGCGTGCATGCCACAAAACAAGACAAGCGTGTACAACATACACACATGGTGGCACGGGCGGCAGAGGGGCAGGGGAGTGCACTCTTCACACTGGGTGAGTACAATGCTGCCCCGATGCCGCTCCCTCTGAAAGGGCAACGCTGCACGCAATTATAATGTATATCGGCCCACAGGCCGAAACACCTCAAGCAGATGCGGCGTGAGGCTCGAAATATAAATATGAATGTCTAGATTCACCAATCCAGACTGTCAACTCAAAAGATATGCATGAGACACCTCAAGCAAGGTGCGGCCTGAGGCTCAAATATAAATACAAGAATATGAATATCTGGATACACTACTCCAGACGATCAACTCAAAATATATGCATACATCACCGTAGCCCTCACTAAGTCCATCAGCAGCTGCAATCAGGACCTCACGGGCTCGCAGGCCCTGGAACGGCGACCCGACGCTGGGCCTTCCGCTCCTTGGCTCGCTCACGCTGTCCGCGGCGCAGCCGCAGACGGTGTGCCTCCTCATCCTCTTGCTCAGCAGTAGGCACCATGCTGAACAGGCCGTGGCGGAGGAACTGCGATAGTACCTCGTTAGGCTGCACGGCTTTTGTCAGCACATCCGCTAGCATGTGGCTATTAGGCAGCCACTTGAACTTGATGGCCTCCTGCTCTATCAAATCCTTGGCCACCAGCAAGTCAATGAGGGTCTGCCGAGACACCGGCATCGACCCGATCTTGGACGTGTGATCGTAGAGCGACTTCGCATCCGTCACGAGCGCCCCTGGAACCTTCAGCGCCAGCCTCCAGTCCCCTTGCAAGGGCGGCTCCCCGTACAAGATTGCCTCAATCAGCAGCCTGAGGTAAAGCTGCCGATCCAAAGCCACGGACATAGCCGCAGACTCTGCGGCCATCGTAGATCCAACAACTCGTGTAATAGTACTGCTCTGAAACTCCACTAGACAGCATACAGTTAGCTCCTTCAAAACTCGGGTGTCCGAAATCATACTCATAAACCCCATCTGGCTCTTACAGCCGGGTTCCTTCGCAAACGAAGCGTCCATAAGCGTGAGCACCTGCAAGCGCTCGATGTCCACACGGCGGATCCGGAGAGTCGCAAGACCTCTCTTGTCGTAGTCCTGAAGCCGGTCGATGATGTCATTGAGCACTCGCAGGCGCAGCAACCTCCGACCTTTCGGATCCTTCTGTGCGAGCGCCGAGACACTATACGCGAGTTGAGGCACCACGCGTGCGACAGGCCACCGCACCTTCTGGAGCAAGCTCCGGTAGTCGTGGTGCTCCTCGGGAGTCATCTCCCGCTCCTCGTTGTCACCCCTTGCAAGGGGGTGCTTCGTCAGCTTGCCGATGTACTCGTGCATGCTGATCTCGATGTGATCGGGGTGGCGCCACCACTCCTCACCGAGATAGGCGACTGCCTCCTTGTCGTTGCCCTTCTTCCAGTGCTTGATGTTGAAACGACTGTTGATGTTCGCCTTCACCTCCTGGTACTGGGGATCGTGTGGGTCTCCAAACAGCATGCCGTCATCGACGTGCAAGGTCAACATAGCGATCAACTTGTCGTTCATTCGATAAACGAAGACAGCTCGAGCACAGCGCAGCTCCACGAAGCCGACCTCGTCCGTCAACACCTGGCGGGCTCGGAGATACCACAACCGAGGCGCCTCAGTCAGACAGCACGCCCCTTTCAGCAAGCGAAGCAACGCATAAGGCCGCACGGCTGGCCATCCAGCACCGTCGACGGCTGGAAGCCCGTCCTTAGGAGCCCTCACATACAGCTCCCGTTCCAGCTTCAGCCCGGACAGGAACGCAGTCGCTACGTCGAAACACTCGAATGTCCAATCCATCGCCATTGTGATAGACGCACACACCAGCACAGCCAAAGGGGAAGTAGTAGGCGAATCCGTCCTGAATAGACCAAGCTGCGGATCGAGATGGCCAGG